TTGACAACCTGACCCTTGAGGACAGTGGGCTGTACCGGGCTCAAGAGACCTATACGGGAGGAAGACAATATGACCAGAATTTCCACCTGACGGTCTATGGTATGTGGCGGCCCCTCCCCCAGTCCCACAGCTGATGCCCTTCCTCCATCCCTCACAGTAACCGTGCACCATGCTTGCAGGATTCCTTCCAGACCGCAGCCTTCAGACTCGATCTTCTCCCCAAAAAATAGATGCTGTGAGGTCACCACAAATGCAGGCAGAGCTGAGACTCACACCAGGGATGAATCATGTCTGTGCTTCAGGAGGGAACATGGAATGGGGGGAAATGGGGATTTTGCCATAACACTCATTGTCCCCATAGGACTCAGGGTCCTTATGGTCTTACGGTCTCATTATCTAGTGTTGTTGTAACAGGTGACAGTACCTGAGTGGCTGACCACACCATCCCCCCAGGAGTCCTCCTGGGCTGTAGGTCAGGAGTCAGACCCCAGAGCCTCTGCCATGAGGTCCAGGTGTCGGCAGGGCTGTGCTCCTCTCTCTGGAGGTTCCGGGGAGAATCCACTTCTGTTCCTGTCCCCCCTTCTAGGGACACCGACATCCCCTGGCTTCTGGTCCCTTCTTCCCCCTTCACAGGTGGCACTGGTGGGATGAGCCCCTCTGACACTGGGTCCCTCCCACCTCCTCTCCTGCCTCCTCCCACTTGTGAGGACCTTGTGATCACATGGGGCTTGTCTAAGGAAACCAGACCATCTCCACTCCAGGGTCCGCTGGTTCTCAGCCTCAGTTCCCATTTGCCCTGGAACCTAAGACACCTGCAGGTTCTGAGGGTCAGCACGTGGCCATGGTTGGGGGACACTTGTCACCTAGCAGGATCCGGAATCCCACATGTGGTTCTCCCTACCACAGCCCCCCATCCTTCTCAGCCCCAGCCAGAGTCATCTCATTCACAGACTCCACAGTCCAGCTCTGAACCTTGACAGATGGAGGGGAAGTTCACAGGGTAACCCCTCCTCAGACTCTCAGTGAGCAGCTCTCTCTCCCTGCACCCCTCCGCCTGCCCCCATGCAGGGAGACGTCCTGCCCCAGAGAAAGAGTGGCCTTTGCAGCCTTACGACCAGAGATTTCCAACTATCAGTCTGTCCCTTGTCTTCCGGTGTGGACCCCAAGCTCAGGGTATAATCCAACCACAACTCAGGGAGGCCATTCCTAGTGCCTTCCACTGTGGTCAGTCCTGGGGGAGCCTGGGGCTGCTCTCTGGGCTCCCAGAGCTGGCCACTGGCCGTCTGCACCACGGGCTATGCCGTCCCATGAACCATGCAAACAGGAACAGTAGGGCTGGGTCTTGGAACTGGAAAATCCTTCTGTCCCTGATTTCTTCTTCTAAGGGACACCCCATCGTCCTCAAATTATGGGGTTTGGGTAGGTGGGGTCCACATTATATCTCAGGGGACTTTTGTAAGACGTGTTCAGTCGAGTGAAATCACATAGAGCTAAACTCAGTGGCTCTTTCCATTCTAGCACCTGCTGTATATTTGGGTCACTTCTCTGTGATCTGTAAAATGCAATCCCTGTCCTTAGTGGGAGGAAGCCAGAGCGCCAGGGAGAATCCACAGGAGAAAGTAGGAGCCGTGATGTTGTCCACTCACCTGAGACTGTCCTCTTGTCCCTCCCACCCAGAGCCTGTGCCCCTTCCCCAGATCCAGGCCACGGTTCTGTCCCTCACACCAGGCTGGTGCAACCTCACCTTGAAGTGTGTCCTCTCAAGAACCAGGGAGGACCTGACCGTGTCCTGGGAGAGCGAGTGTCTCCCCAGGGAGCAGGAGCACAGACCGGCCCCGGGATCATCCCCCAACCCCTGGACACTGGCTGTGAACCTGCCCCTGAGCCGGCCCAGCCCCAGCCTCACCTGTGTGGTCAGCAACGAGGGGGATGAGAAAACTGTCACCCTGGACCTTGGGGACATCTGTGGCCATAGTAAGTGCACCTGCCAGTGGAGTGGGACTTAGTAAGTGCACCTGCCAGTGAAGCAGGACTCTCCCACAGCTCAGAGAGCCTGGGCAAGGGATCTCGTCTTCTGTCCCCCATGTTTATGTCACCCGCTGCCACCTGGTTGCCCCATCCAGGACTCTGGCAGGAACATCCAACCTGTGTCTGCCCTTTAATGTCGCTCCCGTGCTGCTCTCCAGCCCTTACCCCTGCGGTCCAGGCAGCACCCAGCAGGTACCTCTCCACACCCTCATCCACCCTTCCTTGTGTGTCCTGGGACGTTTTCAGGAAAAGCGAGTTGGGGGGTGTCCGGGGTCTGTTCCACCCACCTGCTTGCCTGCATTCCCCATGCATCCCGCTCTCCTCGGCTGCCAGCCTCCGCTCGGGCCCCTCCCTCTGCCCTCAGACCTTCCAAGTCAGGGGTCCCCCACTCCCCACTTATTCCCATCCAGGGACCCCTCCCTGCAGCTGGCTCCAGGGGCCTGTGACCCGGGCAGTCCCACAGGGCCGTGTGCTGGGGACAGTCCCAGCATGAAGATAGTTTGCACAGGGGCTCCTCAGCCTCGATGGCTCAGGGCCCTGCAGGAGCTGCTGCTGTCCTGCCCTCACGGCTCATCTCCTCTAAGGAGTGGTCAGTGGCCCCACACTGGGAGCTGATGCTCTGGCCCAGGATCAGTGTCCTGTGCAGGCTGAACCCCTGGAGGGCAGGGGCCATGTCTGCTGCTCTTTGAATGCCTGTCCCAGCCTCGGCCTCAGATCCGTTGCTCACAGTCAGTGTGTCCCTGAGTGAATGAATGACTTAAATCCCCCTATGCCCCCTCACTCCTCCACCGTGTCCCCCCTCCTGCTGCTGGGGGACCTGCTGCTTCAGTATCCCTGATACAAGAGGAAGCTCATGGCTCAGGGACACACGGGACCCACTGGAAACAGGTTCCTGCCTCCCTGTCATCTTCCCATCCAGCTCCACCAACCTGGTCCCTCTCTGGCCTGCCCCAGTGGGGTGCCAGCAGATCGAAGGACTGGAGAGTTGTCACAGCCATTCCTGGTCATGGTTCTCCATCCTGGGATGCCTCACCCACCCTGAATACCCAGCAATCTCCTACTCCTCCCTCAAGACTAGGTTTTTCCATCACCTCCTCCAGGAGGCCCTCCCTGATGACCTTGGGGACAAGCTGTAGCTCTAGTGCCCTGGGATGGCTCTGG